GACCCAAACACTTAGAAAATTAAGGTCTGGCTGGACAAAGGGAGGAAGGGAAGTTATTTTAGGCAAAGGCATCCACAAATCAATAGCTTGGAAATGGGCACAAGCCAGGCGCACCTGGGTGGCTCAGTTAGTTAAGCATCTGACTTTGGCTCCGGTCACAATCTCACAGTTCGTGGGTTCAAGCCCTGCATCGGGCTCTGTGCTGATGGCTTAGAGCCTAGAACCTGCTTTGGAGTCTGTGTCTCCCTTTCTCTCTGCTCACACTCTGTCTCTCAAAAATGAATAAATGTTAAAAAACATTTTTTTTTTAAAGAAATAGGCATGAGCCTGCTGCTAAGGGACAGTCTAGATCAGCCTGAGTGGATGTTTCTAATCACAGATGACCTATGCTTCTTGTTGTTGAGGCTTTCTTCTTCTAACTTCTAATATCCCATTAACTTAGTAACAGTACTTGATTAAAAGCGTGTTATATAACCTTTCAGTAATGTTGCTTTATTTATACCTTTATCTTTCATGGAATATTTTTGTATAGATCTTTAAAAATGTACCTATGGGGCGCCTGGGTGGCTTAGTCGGTTAAGCGTCCGACTTTCGCTTAGGTCGTGATCTCGCGGTTCGTGGGTTCGAGCCCCGCGTCGGGCTCTGTGCTGACTGCCAGCTCAGAGCCTGGAGCCTGTTCTGGATTCTGTGTCTCCCTCTCTCTCTGACCCTCCCCTGCTCACCCTGTCTCTCTCTCTCAGAAATAAATAAAACATTTAAAAAACTTTTAAAACTCTACCTATGCCTTTGATGATTAACAACTAACATTGTCCCATACTCTTTAATCTTTGTAGACTATGATTTTAAAAGTCTTCGCAGCAGACGGTCCAAGTACCCGATTTGGAAGGGCATTAATTGGGACCCTGGTAGACCCTCTGTGGAGGTTTGAGGGCATGAGGCTGATGCAGAGACTTACTTGACCACTTCCCCACAGGGGAATTAGGATCACTCAAGGAAAGCCTGCCTTGCTGGGAGCCACAGTCTCCTGCCAGTTTGTAAATAGCCTCATTCCTAATTTATCTCACTCCTCTTTTCTGAGCCAGTGACCCAGATTCATTGGGCTGTGAGGCCACTCGCAAGGGGTTGCACGGACAGGTTTCCACGTTACTGTGCTGGAGAAAACGAGAAGAAAAATCACAAGCTGCTTAAAAGTGGGCAAAAGATAACAGAATAAGCCTCACACAGATGCCTTAATTCCAACCAGACCTGTGGTAGTGATTCAAATGCCTAAATTCACCCCAAGATACAGGTAGCTTCACCCTTATTTGATTTGTGCCACATAACTGCAGTCTCCTTTTCCCACCACTAGGTGGCAATCCCGCTTTAAAGCAAATCTTCAAATAACGCTGTTCATATAAATAAAACTTAAGTTTTCACCCCCATCATGTTGGCACAAAAAAGTCCTACAACTTTTGGGTTAGTGGATATGCGGGAAAGCAGGGTCTTTCAAAAAGCACTGGTGGAAGAGTAAGTTGATAGCACTATTTTGAAGGAATTTGGCAGTAATATTCATGCTGTGCACATCATGGGAGCTAGCCATGGCACGTAGAGATTCGATCATCTGATTAAGACGATGACGACTAATGTTTATTTTGTCCCCACTATGTGCCAGGCCCTGCCCTAAATGCTTACCTCATTTACTCCCTACAATCTAAGTAGGCATGTTTATTTCCACCACCACCACCCCGCCCCTGAATTCACAGAGGAGAAATCCAGGCACACAAAGGTCAAGCACCTTGATCAAGGTTACAGAGCTCTCAAGTGGCAGAGCCCCAGCCTTCCCCCTGCTTCCACTACATTGCATGTGCCTCCTGTGCAGCCGGAAACACACCGCCACCCGCACGCCGGAGGGTGTTCGCTGCAGCAGCGTCTGTTAGCCTAGCAGTGCGTGAGTGAGAATGTGTGAGGGAAGACCGCAGAGGAGCTCAAGCCATGCGCTAGATCTGGATGCGGTCAACCCGTATGCATCTCAAAAACAAATGCTGAGATAGAGCAAGCAAAAATCAAAAAGAAGCAAAACTGTTTATTATTCCTGGAGACCAACAAGGGAGTAAACCTATACAAGGATACACTGGAAAGGTATAAACCAAATTTATGATGATGTCTCAGGGGCAAGGGAAATGGGATTCGGGAAACAAAAAGACAAGGGCTTTTAAATTTATCTGTAATGTTCTGTTATTTTCTTTCTTTCTACCTACCCATCTCTTGAGCAACGAGGCAAAAGCTCAAAGCCTGCCCTGATTGAGAATATCGTGTTTTATGATTGGATCTTCACAAATGCAGTCCTCAAACCTGACAACTGCTAGGGTCAAGCAACCATACAAACCTTTTGCTCCATTGGGGACATCTCCCCAGAGAGCTTTTCTCAAGCTCCCTTCTCTAGTAGAAATCACTTAAGAGGTTTTGAAGGTTAGACGTCCAGCACTAGCACATGTTTTTTTGCTTAAGGTGTAGGCCTCCGACGCTGGAAAGAAGGGAGGGGGGAGGTAGGAAGGGTCAGTTCTACCTTGAACTTTGCGATTAAGAGAGCCATTCTCTTTAGGGGCACAAGCTCCTAACAATTGAAGTGTTTCTTTATTTAAAAACATTTTTTTAAAGTTTGAGAGAGTGCGTGTGCATGCAAGCGGGGGAGGGGCAGAGAGAGAGAGAGAGAGAGAGAGAGAGAGAGGGAATCCCAAGCAAGCTTCATGCTGTCAGTGCAGAGCCCCACATGGGTTGCATCTCACACACTGTGAGATCACGACCCGAACCAAAACCAAGAGTTGGACACTCAACCCAACTGAGCCACCCAGGCGCCCTTATAGTGTTTCTTTTAAAGTTCACACTATTTGCTTACTTCACTTTTTCTTGTATGCGGGGAGAAGGGAGGGCAGGTTATAATCAAATGTTTAATTGCTCAGGTGGAAAGATACAGTGATTCAAACAAATTACCTCCCTCCAATTCCATTTAAAGCCAGTAGGCAAACTGGTTACCTAGAAACACAATGACTTACAACTAACTCTCTTCCTGTATTTACCAGAGCCAACAAACACAGATGAAACCACAGGTCATATGTTGACAAGTTTTCTTAGAACCATAATAGGTTTATAGAGGTTAATGCTCTCAGATTAAACAGGGATAATGGCTCTGAGCAAGAGGCCAGGGCTGGAGGTGGGGATGGGGAGGGCAGAGGCATAATTTTAAAAAGAACTGACCTTTTGTCAGCGGCCGAATGCACTAAGAATGTAAATTGCAGAGAAGGGGACAGGGATAGCTTTGAACCTAATGGACTGTCTCAAAGCTGAAGACTATAATACTATATGTCCTGTACTGTGAGGAAGCCTCCTCACAAAAGCAATTTATACCTCCTTCTAAAAATATTTTAAGTATCCTCTAGAGAATTCCTCATCACAAATCTTTCATTTCACTGGAGTTAAATATGCTGTATCACTTAGGGAAACAAGTGGTTTTCACAGTTTAGTAACATACATGGTAATTTTTTTTTTTTTAAGTTTATTTATTTTGAGAGAGAGAGTGCAAGTAGCAGAGGGGCAGAGAGGCGGGGAGAGAGAATCCCAAGCAGGCTCCACTCTGTGAGTGCGGAGCCTAATGGTGGACTCAGTCACAAACCTGAGCCAAAATCAAGAGTCAGACTGCACCACCCAGGCAACCCCACAGGTGGAAACTCTTGAAAAATGATCTAGTTAAGAAACACAGATTTGGCTTTCTCCTCCTATGCCTTTTTTCTTTTAATGTATTTTTAATTTTATTTCTGAAAGAGACAGTGTGAACAGGGGAGGGTCAGAGAGAGAGGGAGACACAGAATCCGAAGACAGGCTCCAGGCTCTGAGCTGGCTGTCAGCACAGAGCCTGATGAGGGGCTCGAACCCAGGAACCATAAGATCATGACCTGAGCCGAAGTCAGACGCTTAACCGACTGAGCCACCCAGGCGCCCTGGGAAAAGAACTTTTCATTGACATTTTCCTCTCAAGAGGATTGTGACTTCTTTAATTAGTGAGAGCTGAGGAATATTAGGATTGTAGTGAGAAGCTCCTGTGTCCTTCAGTCTTTTTTTTCTGAAAGAGAGAGAGAGACAGCGTGAGCAGGGGAGGGTCAGAGAGAGAGGGAGACACAGAATCTGAAGGAGGCTCCAGGCTCTGAGCTGTCAGCACAGAGCCCAACACAGGGCTTGAACCCACAAACCACAAGACCATGACCTGAACCGAATTTGGATGTTTAATTGACTGAGCCACCCAGGCGCCCCTGTGTCCTTCAGTCTTACAGGGAAGCCTGACCAGGGATCAGCCTTCATTGTTCTCCCAGAACCATCTGCCTGGTCAGACTCCGAGGGTCTTTCACAGAACTCTTCATGCCATCAGCTTGGGAGACTCTTGGTGCAATGTGACAGGTCCAAGGTGCATTTATATTATCCCAAGAGAACTGCATTAAAATGAAGTCTTGCTGGGCGCTGGTCTCACAGTGTGGCAAAATCTGTTACTGCATTTAACGATCTCACTTGATTTTTGATTTTGGCAGTTACAGGCTACATGAATATCTGCTGCTTGGAAAGAATGCAGAGGTGTATAGTCAGTGAAAGGTGTCCCTCAACCCTCCTCTCTCCTACCCTGAACTTTACTTTCCTCAGCAGGTGATGGTGGCGGATGACACCTCCTTCTTCTGTGTACTTACAGAGGACACAAACCAGAGCTACTGGGCCAGTAGCAAAACTGAACTCTGGGCGTGCCTGGGTGGCTCGGTCAGTTAAGCGTCAAGCTCTTGACTTCGGGCCCTGCATCAGGCTCTGCGCTGACAGTGGGATTCTCTCTCTACCCCTCTCATGCTTTCTCTCTCAAAATAAATAAACTGTAAAAAAAAAAAGTGAATTCTGAACTTCTAAAAACAAAATCTAAACGATTCCAAGGTTTATGAAATTACTCTAGAAACACACAAATCTAAATAAAAAGAAACAGAAACCAAAGCTTCAGTATTTTACTCATATCTTTTATTTCTTACAATTAACAGTTAATGAAAGAAAAAAATGATTGTAGCACCCTACTATTGTAAGACCACAGCTGTAACTTAAATGCTAATGCATCCCGTAAAAGAGAGAACCTTTCCCCAAAGCTACAGTGACCACTTAGGTTGCCTGATCCCAGTGACAATTAATAATTTTTATTATCAAACACACAAAAATTACTGTTCTGCCTGGCTGAAAAATCTCACAAATGATACTTTTTCCTCCATGTACATGGCTCACTGACTCAAACCAGAATGTAGCTGCTAAGATATCCATAGTTAGGAATCTCAGACCAGGGTCTGCACACCTGTGGGAGTTATTCAGTGTATGCTAAGGGGGCTGCCATCGAGGCTCCATCTTCCCAGAGAGCAATGTTTATCTGAGGCTAAGGAATCACATATTTATTTTTCAAAAAGGTTAAATGGAAGCTTTTCCCCCGAATGAAATATACAGAAAACTTCAATACATAAAACCAGTTCTAGGAAGCTGCTCTGGCAGAAGCTGACTGATGCAAGCTCCTCCCATTCCCCACGCAGCCTGATTGTGTGGCCCCTTCCTTCCCGGGGCCACCAGGGGAACTTCTGCACACCCAGCCTCACCCTCTCCAATTTCAATTCAGAGACTGGGCATCCTTATTGGGATAACAGAAAGTTAGACTGGGGAGTGTCCAAGGGACACCAACGCTGTGTGTATTCTGCTTACCCTTTTCCAGGTAAGGAAAGTCCTTACCTTTATGCTCAAGTCCAACCCTTAAAATCTAAACTTCTCTGACTTTTCAGTCTTTTTGGCTGTGATACATTTCAACTAATACTTCCACTTGTGTTATGTAGCTCTCGGATCCTGTGGCATTTCTACAGTAAACATCAACATATCTTCCCAAACCATGAGAAACTACTGAATATTCCCAAACAGTGTCCTGTCCCCTAATCTGTCTTCTGAATATCCTGGTTCTTTTCCTTCTTTGTATATTCTTCTAGTCGAAGAAGCCACTTGGCCCAGTACTGGGAGCAGAGCTCAGTGCCCATGAAATGCGGGTGAGCCGGGGATCCATCTTTGTAGGCAACCACAATTAAGCCACACTGGACCTAGGAAGAAGCACAGGGTGGTTCCAGTACTTATAAGGCAGGGCCAGAATTGAGGTTCTTTTCCTTCTTGCTTCAGGGCAAACTCAGAACAAAATAATCTACAATAATATCTCCTAAAGGTTTCTAAGACGGGTTGATAAAAGATTGTATCAGGATACATAAGAACACAAAGATGACAAATAAGATATCCCAAGAATGGACTGTAAACATCAAAGCACTATTAGCAATGACAGAAAGCTCAGGAACAGAGGGAAGTGCTTCTTAAGGTGGTAAAAGGACAAGGAATGGAGTAAATGGTGAAAAACAAACAGAACAAAAATCCCAGGGAGTTAAATGGCCATATATAAGTGTCGACCAAGGTGTTACGTAAGCTGAGGTTCAGTTTCCTGACCTGAAAGCTGTAGTTGGCATCATTATTTATGGCACCAACGTAGGCGACAACCTGCAGCGGGTTGTCAAAAGTATTTCGGATATGAGGTTTTGGTTTCTCCGATGTCTTCCAATCAATCACACAGAGCTTGCCCCTAAAGAGAAACCAAAGGAAGCCTTAGTAGGGAACTGTTCGAGCTGAGAAACTAATAGGTTAAGTCTCTTCTTAGGTATAGTTTATTATCACCCAACGACCTTTCTCCACTTTTCTTTTAAAAAAATATTTTTTAATGTTCTATTTATTTTGAAAGAAAGAGAGAGGGAGGGAGAGAGGGAGGAAGAGAGGGAGGGAGGGAGGGAGAGGTAGAGGGAGAGGATCCCAAGTAGGCTCTGTGCTGTAGAGCCTGACACGGGGCTCGAGCTCACGAACCATGAGATCATGACCTGAGCCAAGATCAAGAGTCAGACACTTAGCCACCCAGGTACCCCTTTCTCCACTTTTCAAAATGACAGCTGCCCTTAGCTTTACTTCTGAGGATTAGAGAAGTGTGATGTTCTCTTTCTGTTGAGCCCTGTATTCAGGTCAATGACAGGCCTGTCTAGGGTGTGATGGGAAGTGCTTCCGGAAGTACCCTGCTGACAGCAACAGGGGCGGGCCCATGTGGTAGTGCTAGGGAACTTTTCCACAGTTCTAGTTTCTAAACTTTCTCAAAATTCCTTTGGACTATCATGGCCTCCTTTCCTTTAACAGTTGACAGGGTAATTGAAACTATGTCTCTATCACTATCTCAGTTGATGAACCACAACAGATCAGTAGCAGAGTCCCCATCATAAAGGATGAATCATCATAGTGCTTCAGAAATCATCTTGCTCAGAAACCAAAGCTGAGGCTAAAATCTATCAGCATTTAATAGGCACCAACTATATGCAGAGATACAGATAAGGAGACCTGGTCCCTGACCTAAAAGTTTACACACAGGGGAGGGTGTCTTCCTAGCAGGGGTATTGGGGGAAAAAATTCCTGCCAGCTTCTAAAGAAAGTCAAATAACCAGTGCATTCTCTCCATTCTCCCTCTCCTGGTGGGATTTTATACTTGCCAAGTGCAGATATCAGAAGATCATAGGGCCAGCAGAAGGACAACTGGTGACTATCTGTTCAATCTTTCATGATTGCAATTTTTAAAAAATTTTATTTATTTATTCCAAGAGAGAGTGTACACGAGTGAGGGAGGGGTAGAGGGAATTCCAAGCAGGCTCTACACTGTCAGCACAGAGCCCAACATGGGGCTTGAACTCACAAACCATGAGATCATAACCTGAGCCAAAACCAAGAGTCAGATGCTTAACCATCTGAGCCACCCAGGTGCCCTACATAACTTCAATTTCAAAACCAGCAGTTTAAAGGGAGATTTTGTACCAAATATGCACATTACGTACCTGTGACCTTAGCTCTAGAGTTATAATCCTTGCCAGGTATTTATAAAGTCAGCCTAGAGTAGCACTGCCTAAATGAAATAATATATAGGCTACATGTTATTTGAAATTTTCTAGTAGCTACATCAAAAAAGAAAAAAAGACACAGGTGAAATTCCAATATTTTATTTAACCCAACATACCTCTAATTTGATCATCTCATTATGTAATAGGTTATATATAAAAAAGTTATTAATGGGATACCATATACTCTTTTTTTATAAGTCACTGAAATCTACTTTGTATATTTACAGCATACCTCAGCTTTGACTGGCCACATTCACGTATTCAGAGGCCGTATGTGGCTAGTGGGGACTCTCTTAGTGCAGATCTAGAGATAGTTTCACTGTCTCTGTCACTTTGTAATATTACAAAACAATTATAATCTATGCAACTGAAGAGAGGGCCCCAGTAACTGCAGAACCTCAGTTCTCAACCTGGAGCAAATCAAAATACCCTAAAACAAAGATTTCTGACATGGACCACCATTTCTTGCAAAACATACTTCATAGTGTAACTTGCAGAGCTTAATGTGGAAAAGAGTTTAGTAATATGAATCCAAATTAAAACTGAACAAAGAGTTCAAATGAAAAGATGTTCAGTCTAACCTAAGTGAAATGCAGACTGAAATTTTGAGATGCAATGTTAATACATGGTGTCTAACACTGTGTCATTAAAACTGTGCAGAAATAAGCACACTCCTATCTGGGAAAACTTCCAATGCCCATACCCTTTAATGTAGCAATTTCCCTCTTATGTATGTGCTAGAGAGAATGGTTTGATACCCTAGGGGTAAATGCCTGGAAAAATGCCATAAAAGTGACAAATGCCTGAAAAATTTAAGTATTCATATCCAGGCCTACTTCAGACTAACTAAATTTACGCAAACCATCTATATCATCCACTAGCACAAACCAGCCAATGAACCTGTGCACCTGACTAGAGAAACTGTCACAACAGTATACAAGGAGACACGCTCACTGTTGCAGCTGGTGATTGTGAAAAACTAGAAATTGTCTGAATTTCCCCAGCAGGGAAATGGATACGGTTCATTAATATAAAGGAATACCAAACAACAGTTAAAAAGAGAGAAGATCAAAATAATCACGCTAACAGTTATTGAGTAGATGTATTCATTTTAAGTACTAAACAGAGAATGTTTCATTTAGTGTCTAATAACTCTATGAGGTAGGTCCTATCTTTTGTCTTATTTTATTTTTTTCTTAAGTGGGCTCCACACTGTGCATGGAGCCCAACACTGGTCTTGAATTCATAACCCTGAGATCACGACCTGAGCTGAGATCAAGAGTCAGACGCTTAACCAACTGAGCCACCTAGTGCCCCTGTCTTATTTTACAGTTGAACAAATTGAAGTACAGAGAGGCTAAGTAGCTTAAGGTTAAGATGAAAAGCCAGAAACAAAACCTAGGCAGCCTGACTCCAGACCCTCGTATCTTACCAGCTTTGTGATGATACATATCTAGAAACTTCTCTATACTGTGACTCTTACAGACGCGTGTTAACAATACACAGTGGTGTGTATATGCACAAACTGGCAGTGTACCTGTGCATGCATTATACAGTGTTGTGGGTGTGTTAAATAATATAGCAAGTCGCCTAGAAGGATACAGTAGCAAACTTATCACATTGATTGTCCTCGGCTAGGGGGCTGTGAGAGTAGGAAAGAGGTGGTTATAGGTGATGTGAGGTTAATTTATGTTATATTAAAAAAAATCGGGAGCAGATGTGACAAAGTGTTAATTCTGAGTGGTGGAAAATTATTAAAAGAGAAAAGGATGTGGCAAATCTATATAAACTAATAAGGATCTCTAGAATGTTTTCAGAGTGTAAAAAGGCAGGGTTTGGTATTTTGTGTTAGTAAGTGGGGCTAGGGACAAATTATTGTACATGCAATCATAAAGTACCTCAGGGTCACAAGAACTTTTAAACAGAGGTGAAAACCAGGAAGGGGTAGAGAATTCTAGGAAGATGGAAGAAGACGACGTGCCAGAAATCTGCATGCCCACCTTGACAATAACTGCAATGGCAGAATCTGTCTGATCCAGGTACTGGAAATCTAGAGCCTACTGAAGGCTTACATGGTACACTGTGGTGAATTTTGGTCAATTTCAGCTCTTAGCAGTTACCCCTCCCTCCTGCTCATGGGCAGGCGGCTGTGCACATGCTACTGGAGCCGGGTCCACACAGCTTGTGGGAATGGGAGGGGACAAAAGGGACCCCGTCCTCTGTGCTCACATGGAGGATTGCCCTTTCTGTTCAGAGGTGTAGACAAGCCGGGGGTAGCAGTTGTTACTGCACCTCCACCCACTGCTGCAAGCCCCCCTCCCTCCACCTGCCTGACTTCCAGGGGATTTAAAGGGCCAACACCCATTTTTTCCACCCCTTCATTTTTCTCTTTTTCCCCTTTTGGGAATTAGACACTAACGACTACAACATCCAAAAGCAACTGCATATATGGAGAAAATTAAAAAGTGACAGTGCCCGTCCAGGGAGAGGCACAGGCTCAGAAAAGACCTAACAAGACCTTAAGTTTATACCTCAGGCTGATCCTTAGCAAAGAGCCTGCAACAACTACAACAGCAACACCCCAAACAAAAACAACAAACAAAATCTGGCAAACCCAGGAGCAGAGGGAGAACCTGATTTCCAGAATTACATATTAGCTTCAAATCCCCAGTTTTCAAAAAAAAAGTCACAAAGCATACAAAGAATCCAGAAAGTATGGCCCAAGGAGGAAAAAAAGATATCCACACAAATTGTCCCTGAAAAAGATGTAATGGCAGATCTACTAGACAAAGACCTTTTTGGTCTTAAAGATGCTCAAAAGCTTCAATAAAGGTAAATACGTGGGCAATTATAAAAGCGAGTATTATTGTAACAATGATTTGTAATTCCACTTTTGTTTTCTAGAGTTTAAAACTTGAAGCAAGCAATGTATTGCTCTTAGGTTGGTTGATCATACAAATCTTTGATCAGTGTTTACTGAAACATCAGATAGCACTGGCTCATCGTGTTCTTCCACTCTGCTCAAGTGAGCTGCCCCATACAGATCATTAATTTCAACTTGGGTTTGCTGGAGTCAGCGGCTGTAGCCTCTGAATGTGAAACATCTTCACTCTTATTTTCTATACTCATTCTCATCTCCTTCTCGGATTGTTCTTAATCTCTCCACAGTTCTCCTGTTCTTTTTCTTGCATTTCCAACTCCTGCTCGACTATCAGCTATTGCTGCTGAAACATGGGCTTCTCTTACTTAAGTCTCTCCCTCACTTCAGGTTCCATTGGAGTCAGCCATTTTGTTTTGTCTCAGTAGCTCCACGGTCACATTTTCCTGATACCCGTAAATCTACGATACTACATATTCTATTGGATCCACTGGGCAAATTCTTGCCACTTCTGCAAGACCCCAAGTTAGACATGTTCCAAGGTACTTATGAAGATATGTTGGCTCCCTTTCTAACTCTTACCCTTACCCTGCCAATAGCATCCCATTGCTGGCAGTGAGCCATGCATCTCAGGAGCCAGAGACTATGCCCAGCAAAGGGGAAGGGGTTAGTGGGTGGGTGGGCAGAGGGTGAGTGGGTTGTTTTCTACATAATTTAAAAGATTAATAAAATTATTAATTTATGTTTTGGGGCACATAATATATAAAGACAATTTTG